ACTAGCTGGAGCCTCCGGGTGCTCCTCAAGGGAAGCCCCATGTAGAGAGCATTACAGTAGTCCAGGCGGGAGGTGACCAGAGCATGAGTGACTGTGCGCAAGGCGTCCCGGTCCAGAAAAGGCCGCAACTGGTGAATCAGGCGGACCTGATAAAACGCCCCCCTGGTCACGGCCGCCAACTGGTCATCCAGTGTCAGCCTAGCATTGATGATGTTCCCTAGTTGGGTCATGAAACGTCTGCAAGAAAACAACCCAGCTCAGAGAGGACCAAGGACGCCACAGTTTGTCCTTCCTTCCTTCCTTTCTCCTCCTCCTCCCTTGTAGCACTGATGATGTTACCTAGTTGGGTTATGAAACGTCTGCAAGAAAACCACCCAGGTCAGAGAGCCCCAAAGATCTCATAGTCCTCCTCCTTCTCCTCTCCACAACCTCCACTCTCTTCTAGCACAGATGATGTTCCCTAGTTGGGTCATGAAATGTCTGCAAGAAAACCACCCAGCTCAGAGAGCACCAAGGACCCCACAATCATTCTCCCCTTCATCTCCTCCTCCTCCTCCTCCTCCTCCTCCTCCTCTCCGCAAACCTAACTCCCTTCTAGCATTGATGATGTTCCCTCGTTGGGTCATGAAACGTTTGCAAGAAAACAACCAGGCTCAGAGAGGACCAAGGACCCCACAATCATTCTCCCCTTCATCTCCTTCTCCTGTCCACAAAGCCCACTCACTTCTAGCACTGATGACGCCAACTAGTTGGGTAATGAAATGTCTACAAGAAAAGAACCAGGTTCAGAGAGCACCAAGGATCCTACAGTCCTCCTCCTCCTCCTCCTCCTCCTCCTCCTCTCCACAAACCCCACTCCCTTGTAGCACTGACGACACTACCTAGTTGAGTAATGAAACGTCTGCAAGAAAAAAAACAGAGCACCAAGGACCCCACACTCCTCCTCCTCTCCCCAAACCTCCCTCCTTTCTAGCACTGATGATGTTACATAGTCAGGTCATGAAACGCCTGTTTTAAAAAAAATAACACCCCGTTTTAACAGCACCAAGGATCCCCCAGTTCAACCCTGAGCTACAAATATCCTCCGTTATTAGGAAATCACTCCATTCTGCCTTTCCCTTGCAGTTAGCCAAACGGGCCGCCGTCTCTGGAGCCAGGAGGGGGACCGCAGGTAAAGACGGGACCCCCTTCTTGCCCGGGTGGGTTGGGGGCCTCCGGGATTCCACCTGCCATCTGGCTCTTTCTTCCTGCTCCCCTTTCAGAGTCCGACGTTCCGGCGCGGCTCCCAAGACGAGACTCGGAGACGCTTTTGACTCTCCTGGGGGTCCCTCACATCCAGGTAAAAGCCCGCCATCCTGTTTGCAGACAGCAGAGGGTCTTCACCGCCTTGCTTTGGGGTGGGGGTCTCTGCTTTGGGCTCCGCTGGGAGACCAGTTTGGTCCTCCCAGCTGGGTGGGTTACCTTGACCGCTGCGGTTACCTTGACTACAGCTTATGACTGCCATTGGGCCCCCAAAATATCCCTTGCTGAGCAAGACACCCCGTTTTAACTCTTTACATATATAAATATATATATAATAAAGTTAAAACACCTAGCTTTTGCCGGCTTCCTGCCAGCATCATCAGCATCCAAAGACCTACATATATATATATATATATATATATATATATATATATATGTTTTTCAAAATTTGGATTGCTAACAAAGAATTAAGGGAGTACTGGGATAGCTATAATGTTTTATTGATATATAGATATATATAATGTTTTATTGATTTTCTAATTTTACCTTTAAGTATTTAAAAAGCAACGTGGCGGCTGAGTTAATCGATAATTCAAT